AACGTTGTTGGTTTCTTTGTGTCATCTTTTCCTACTGTATTTGGCTTCCCTAATGCATGTCATGTTCATTTTTATTTGTTACCTATGTATTTAGGCGGTGGTTTATCCAATTTTACCGGCAATGGCGAGGCTGTGCCCCTGGAGGTCTTTCCTCCAATGGGGCCCATTGCAGGTCCTTTTGGGGATCCATCCTCGCACGGCGCCGGGTTTGCCTCTGAGATGAGGGCTTTGGTCGAAGGACTGTCGGGGCAAATTGTGTACCTGGCAGGCCGGGTGGATCAGATGCTGTCAGATGGGGGAACTGCCAGGGAACCCCTGCAAGGCGGAAGCAATCAGACAAGAAGTAGACAGTTTGCTGGAAAAGGGCACCATACACAACATAGATCAGCTGGCACTAAGTTCAGGCTTCAACTCAAATGTGTTCCTAGTACCAAAATCTACAGGTGGCTGGCGTCCAGCTCTGGACTTAAGCAGACTAAATCAGTATGTGCTCCTTGATCAGTTTTGCATGGAGACGCCAAGCTGCATTCTTCTCTCCATCCACCGGTACGACTAGCTAGCCTCACTAGACTTAAGCGATGCCTACCTGCACATACCGATGCACCCAGCGAGTTGCCACCTCCTTCGATTCGCCCACCTGAGCCAAGTATTCTAATTTCGAGTGCTCCCCTTTCGCGTTATGCGAAGCTTCCTACGTGTTCACCAGAGTGATGAAACAGGTAGTGCTGCTGCTTCACCAAATGTCAGAACACATCAATCTGTACCTAGATGACTAGTTATTACACGACCCAAGAAAGGGGTTATTAGCCAAGCAAGTAAGGCTAACGCAGGATTTACTTCACCAGTTGAGCTTTTTAGTAAATCAGACAAAGTCCCATCCCTACCCAACGCAACAGTTGGTGTTTCTGGGCATGGAGTTTGACACGGATGTAGGCTTGGTACGTCCATCTAAGCAGCCTAGCCAAACGACTAGTCAGTGTTCCCTCAGTGTCCCTCTAAGAACTAATGCAGATCATCGGAATGATGACTTCGGTTTGAAGGGTAGTTCCCCAGGCCGCATTACGCAGCTGCATCTATTGGACGAACAAGCCCAAGGAGTTTTGCCCCCGCATTAGGTTCGGGACCGCCATATCATCTGGCTTGAGCTGAAAGCAATGCACTACCGATATTTCGAGACCAGAGTCCTGCTCCACGCAGACAACACAGCGGCGGTCTCCTACATCAACAAGGAGGAGGACGCGTTCCCCATCATTGTCAGTCCTAGCAGAGCAAATTCTCCTTTGGTGCCTGGAATACAATGTGGAGCTAACCGCACACCACATGCCAGGGGTGAGGAACAGTCTGGCAGACGCCCTTTCGGGGCGACTCTGTCTCCAGAATGCGGAGTGGCAGATACCCCAGTGGGTAGCCTCCAGGCTGTTTTGGCTGTGGGACGGCCCAAAGATAGACCTGTTTGTTAGAAAGGTTTATCTGAGCGGGCTGCCAACGTCCTGGCCAGGGCGAACAGGGATTCCACCAACGCTGTCTACAACTCGAAGTGGCGAGCATACACTGATTGGTGTAGTGGAAGGGAGATTGATCTATGCCATCCCACTATTGGCCAGGTAGCAGACTTCTTCGTACACCTGTTTGACGAAGTAGGTTTGTCCTACGCAGTGATCGTTGGCTACAGGCCGGCCTTGTCCCCCGCCATTGAGAACGCCTTGAAGTCAAGTCTAGCTGACTGTCCTATTATTAGGAAACTGTTTACTACTTTCCATAATCAGAGGCCGAGTCCCAGAACAAGGGAACCGCCCAATTGAGATGTCCGCTCTAAGCAGGCCGTCCTTTGAGCCTCTCCGATCAGCACCACTCAAGTTTTTGACGTGAAAACACAGTCTTCCTACTGGCCCTCACCTCAGGTAGGCGTCGGTCAGAACTAGGGGCATTGTCCTTCTCGAACGGGTGCGTCGTCTTTATGGCGATCAAGTTGTGCTAAAGACACGAATCAGGTTTCTCGCCAAGAACCAAATCCCAGGACACGATCCTCAGCCGATCATCATCCCCCGGCTGTCAAATATTGTTGGCCCGGAGGATCAGGAGGAATTGCTTCTCTGCCCGGTTCGAACACTGAGTTGCTACGAGAACCGTACTAGGGATTCAAGACGTGGAGCCAAGCACATGTTTTTGTGTTACGGCCCAGGCAGGCAGGATAGGCTGGCCTCCCCGACTTCCATCGCCAGGTGGAATACTGCTACTGTATTAGAGGTCTATAATACTTTAACTTCCTCGACACAGAACTTGCAGAGACACCAAGTACAAGCGCATGAGGTCCGTGCGTTTGCTAACTTGGTAGCGTAAGCATCAGGCGCCCCCCTCGAACATATACTGAGGGCAGGCTTCTAGAGAACGCAAAACGTCTTTATCAACTACTACCTTAGAGACACCCAATCCATTGAGAAGGGCCTCTTTAGATTGGGTCCCGCCGTAGCGGGTCAGACTCTGGTTGCTGACACAGCCCGAACGACCACAAGGGTCCCTGCGCATAAGCGATAAGTCAGTCTCAGCATTTTTGCGGACAGATTTCTCTATCGTCAGCACTCCTTGGAAGTTTCTAGGTCTTGCTTTTCGGCCTATGTTCTCATGCAGAACTGTTTCGGCCTTTACTTCGAAAGCATACTACCCCCTGAATTGGGTTTTGAATCTAGCTCTTTCGGGCACACCGAACCCTGTCACCATAGCATCATTTTTGGCTTTTGCTTCGGGGACAGCACAGGCAAGGTAAGACACCTCTTTTGGGTCTTAACTAGGTGATGAGTGGTAGTTTTAGAGTGTATCATCCCGGACTGGGAAAAAAGACTTTCATCATTTTGTGTTTGCTCGGAAAACCTCGCCACCTATCAGCGTCTGACTCTGCCTACAGTTCAAAATACTCATTTTGACTGACCTGAGTCTATGGTGGGTAATTGAACGTAGTGAATTTAGACAGAGGGCTCTCCGAACCCGCCTATTCACATAGTTCATACCCACCATAGACCCCCCCCCCCAACCGCCCCACTCTTTCTGTAGCGTTGGTCTAGTCCTCGGTGCGGAGAAAAAGGTACCAGAGTGAAGGTCAAGGTAAGGTGGTGTCGCCCCATTACCTGGTCATGTGGTTCGTGACGTAAGGGAAAAAATCTTGGGGTCATGGGGCTTCCCCTGACCTGGATTTTATCTCGTCATTGGCAAAATCGATGATTAATGCCTGCAGTTCAAAATAGTCATTTTGACTGAGGAGTCTATGGGGGGTATGAACTATGTGAATAGGCAGGTTCGGAGAACCCTCTGCCTAATTTTAATTTGTGTGTATATTGAAAGCAATTTAAAATACTATGCTTACTTTCGTCGCCATCCAGCGTTTTAATATTTATGCTAATATCTTTTTCAAAAGCACTCACAAAGCTTTTTTCGATTAAAATTGGATTGTTTCTGGATTTGCTATTGTAGGCTTTCCGTTGCTTATATTTTTCTTCAAGAGATCTTATTTTCAAGCGAATTTTTTTTATTATACTATAATTATATTTCTTACACAATTCGTTGGTTAAAAAAGACGATTAGTAACACACTATTCTATTCCACAGTGGTACAGTGTGAGGAGTACTGGCCCAGATTTTCAAATTAGAATGCTGTATAATTATATGCAAATAGGTCATGGCTGTTCCACTGCTAGGCTTATCAATCTAGTTCACCATTTTAACACAAGTACATATGAACTATAGAGGGCGCTATTGCATTGCAATACTGTGCTGTGTGTATAAGGTCTCATACCTAAAGTTCTCATAAAAACTACTGATTAAGGCAGAAACTTCACACAGAAATACTACTGATCATGAACCCTTCTAATATTGCATAGTCATCTGTATTTGGGGTAAATTGTCCATGAACCAAACTCAATAGTTGTGAGACTGTGTTTGTGAAACAGACCTAGACAAAGATATTTCTGGTGTACACATTTGTTTTATATTAAAATTATCATAAAACATATGTCTTTTAGTTTAGAATAGTTATTTTTTTGTTTTTTTCTAAAATTCTGGCAAAAACATGAAAACAACATTAGCTGTGACACGCACATTTTCAATAAAATTCTGACGACCTTTAAAATCTGTAAATCCCGTAAACGCTGCAATTTGGAAATATTACACATATCACGTTTTCAAGAGATTTCTGCAAATCATATTGTGGAGTGCCTGAGTGTATACTTTGCGGTATTTTCGCAATAACCTTATTATACAGCTTTTCCCTGCTTTTAGTAATAATTTAATGAGATAACGGCCACAAAATGTTTCAGTGTCAAGATTCAATTTCCATTTATGGAATGTGCTATAATGCTTCTGTGCCTGGTGTAAATGAATGAAATTTTTTGAATGTAAGATCAATAATCAATAACCTGTAACATGTTAACCTTTTCACCACCAGACTTTCTCGCCCAATTTGGTTTTTGCACTTTTTTTTCTTATATTCTTCAATATTTTTTAAAGTAATTTTGGAGCCAACAGTCAAAATTTGAGTCAATTTTTAGTTTTTACACAACAAATTTGGCTATTTTTGTCCCAATCTTCTGAAGAAAAGTGCAGACTATAAACAGGACTTTATAGTGAATTTGTGATAAAAAGAGGAAACTGTGGTGAAAAGGTTAAAACATGCCAAAACCCCAAATAAGGGACATTTTGGATGTTATAATGAGTGCAGATACATTTTGAATAATTGCAGATATGTTTTTTTCCAGCATGCTAAATTTTATTAACTTTGACGCTGTATGTATAATAACACTACATATGTCAAGGGTTCAAGTACATTACAGAGGACAATGCAGCATTAACATAATTTTACTTTTATAGTTTCCTTCTACAAAATAGCAGCATATAAAAACAAAGCCTTCGAAAAATAATTTTAAAATTTTTTAATTCTGCTGGTAAAAATTATATTGTAAAAATTTACTGTGACATCACAGGGATAAAGAGTTAGCAGAGGAATGTCTGGAGTAATTATATATGTGTTGGTTTCCAATTTGTAATATGTTATATGTAACAACAAATACTGAATTTCATGAATTTAGATACATACACAAAATGACATATAGACAAATATTTTTAAATGTGAGCATATTTTGTAAAACTTCAAAAGTGATAATTTTTGAAGGAATCATTACACACCCCAATTTTTCAGCAATTTTTTTTTCTAAGCGTAATGAACATGCCCCTAATATTCTGACAGTATAGTGTACATTTACATTTTAAAAAGTGGGTGTCGCCCTGCCCCCTCCCCAAAACAAAGAAGAAACCTTGATGAGGTCAGACATGTTGCCATGGATACCAACATGTTCTCTATTCTCTACATGGTTGGTAGTAAACAACAGCACCATTGGTTTCCATCATAAAATCTTTGACTATGTCTTTGTGGACTTCTTTCATCAGTCCCTTCTCAAGATACTCATCCACTGTCGGCTTAAAGGCTTTATCTGTCAGTTCAGATTCCATCACAGCAATAACTACAAATCCATCTGTTGTGGAAAATATAATGTTAACTTTAATGACAAGAAATTCAACATAATACCATACTTGTCCATTGTAGTGCCTATGTTGGACTAAGTGCCACCAGGTCCCCTAATCTCCATGTGCACTTTTAGGGCATTTCTATTTTTGGATTTACATGCCAATAAGCACTCATCCCTTCATAAAACCTGGTCTTTGAGCATTGCTTGACTTTCCGCTTTGTTACAATACTGCATTCTGATTGGTTGATAACAGACTTGACCTATTAGGTCAGAAGACGTTGTTGCAGGTCAAATTATGTAAATCATGGTGGAAACTGCTTTGCATCAAGAGTTTACGTACGATCCAACACATTCAAAGATAGTGATGAAGATCTTGACTAAGACAGACCCTAATATTTTTTCACATTGTAAATCTGATGGTACATATTTAATATTGTAATACAATATGTGTATTTTTTGTGACCATTTCTGTTTTAGAAATCAATGACAATGAAACTAATCATGTAAATTTAAAGAATGTCTGAATCACAGAACAATTTTAACATGTTTTACCCATGTTGCTATCTTACTCACTTCGTTATATTAAATCCATATTAATGTCTTAATGCACAGTGAGTATGAGCAAAATAGTGAAAAAATGTAGTAGCCCGGTAGTTAAAATATTAGATAGTTTGAGCAAACTTTGAGAAATAACAATTATTGCTCAAATTTCAATGATTTTGAGCATGTCAAAACATTAATGGTTTCCATATTTGATCATGTGTGTTCATTTTTTAACATTTCTGAACGACACGCTAGTGATGATTAACGTCTATGTTAAATTACTAAGTAATTTTTTAACTAGGTTACAAATTGTCAATTATTTCCTGCAATTTGTGCATATTCAGACCATCAAAGACCCAAATGAAGAGCTAAAAACAATTTCACAGTGAAAATTTAGTTTTCAGACACATATTTCCAATCTTCTAATCCTAATGACAAAATAATTAATTTGCACTCCTTATAAGTAAGTAATTTGCATAATCTCCCACAATTCTCAACAATTAATATGAAAAGAATCTGCATTTTACAAAATGTGTTACATAAACCAAATTATGTGATTTTTACCTGTTTTTGTGATTCTCAGCCAATCCTTCATCGTCTTTATATCTAAGAACATACCAGCACCAACAACTGTGACCACATCGTAGGAACCTAAATTAGGGTGATATGTACATTACATAAACATACACTGACAATGTACAGTTCCTGTTCTGTATTTATAGTACTGAAGTCTATCACTAGTAGCAAGCCAGGAGTGTGTGTGTACTTTTGTCCATACAGAGATTTGAACAGTAGTTATTTTACCGTCCCAGTGTGGCATTAAATGAGTTCCCAATGTTTATCTTAATGGCAAGCCACTAAAATTTGTTAGTCAGTATTGTTATTTAGGATATCATTTTACCCAGGACGGAAAAGACAGTATTTGTATGAGAAAACAAATACGTGGATTGTTTGCTCGAGCCAACTTTTTATTATGTAGATTTAGTAAATGTTCTCTTCCTGTTTAGTGTACGCTTTTTCATAGTTATTGTTCAAATTTGAATTGTAGTTACCTGTTGTCAGAGTTTACTGTGGCAAATTTTAATCGTATTTGTGTTGCGTATAACAATGCTCATAGAATTATATGTAATGTTTCTCATTCTTTTAATAGTAGTATCACAGAGACTCTCGCACATTTTTTCGCAACATATTTTGTCGAGTAAGAACTCTGTTTTAATCAATTTATTATCTAGTGATACTTTTTTTAAATCACGTACTATGGCAAATGTGGCGTGGTCAATTCTATTTAATGCATACTGTGTAATTTATTAATATTTGTAAATATTTTTTTTCTTTAAAAAAAAAAACTCTTTATATTGGCTTGTGCTGAAATAAATGATAATAATAATTATAATAATGGGCTGAGCATATTTGGTTGAATCAGTACAAAATGTAATTGTACCGAGTTAGAACAGTAATCTCAGTTTGAAAATAATCTCAGAATAGAAATCGTGCCCTGTTCGATAACCTTTGAACCATAAGATTATTAAAAATGCTGCAGTGTATATGCATCTTTCAAAATATTGTATTTTTAGCAATTCCAATTAACAAAGAAATGTGTATCAACACAAAAACAAGCAGTTTTCAACAAAAATGACAAAAATATTCATCAAAATTTGAGAATTGAAGATATAATCATTAAACAAATCTGAGAAAGGTCCACTGGAATAGGTGTTCAGTTTAGACAGGTTTCAAGATTATACAGCATTAATTTTTGACAGGATTTCATAGTCAGCATATTAACTTTATGGAATACAAAAACAAGTTGTTGCTGCCAATATCATATCCTCAATTCATACTATACATAGGGTCCATGGGAAATTAAGTCACTTGGGTTCAAAGTATAGCACATATGAATATTAACATTTTTGATTGGAGAAGTAATGATTGCGATCAAAGGGTTAAGTTCAACACCCTATCATGAGCACAATTGACCATTTTACAGCCTGTTTACAAAGCTGTTTAACATAAGTTGCAGACAAGTTCAACTAAAGTTCAGATTAGTTCAAAGTTCAACTTCAGTGTCTAGAGTGTTTGTTTGTTTTTTACAACTCGTGATATACATTTTATCAGATATAAAAAAAACACCATTCCCACTCTGTTCCTGTTTTTGTTTGTTTTTTGGTTGAAATCATTGAGAAAAATTGGAATTTTATTTTATTACTGAATGCTTCACATAAAAACTAGAGATATAAATATTATAATATCACTACAAAATAGAGAACTGAATTACATCTTCACAAAGTAAAAGAGTACACACCCATCAAGGCAACATATCAATGTGATTGTTTTACTTAAATTAATACTCATAATTCAGATAAGGTTTCACTGTCCTACACACAACTCTTAACCTACCTGTGGGAAAACTGAGTGGTTTATCTGGTGAGGTTTCTTCAATGTATATTTTTCTATAAGCATTTTTCTCTCTTGCCAGTTTTACACACTCTTCAGAAATGTCCAGACCATCTACATTACTGAATCCACATCTCTGCAGCTGTAGAAATGTACAAATATGAATTACTGCATAAATTGCCCCTAAAAATGTTCAAGCATTGTTGCTAATTTACATATGAAAGATGTGTTAATTAATTAATTTATTACTACCCTTTGAGTAAAATATGTTTAGAGTACATGTTCAATGTAACAATTTTCAATTTCGATCCAATTAGACTTAAAATATACCATGAATATTTATAATTGTTGGTATGTGTTGGTTTTTGGATATTTAAGCTTTGTGGTCCTGTACTTTGTTTAGTAATTTGGACGTCCCAGACTTCATAAAAACGAATAGTTTTGCAATTTTGATACAGAAAATGCCTGGGTTCATTGGATTGCTCTGACTAGGGAGAAAAATGCCCTTTAGTCATGCAAAAGAACATTGGTCCCAAGAGAGAGAAAAAATTGGATATGTGTGGATTTCTCAGGCAACTAAGGAGTAAAAGTGACTTTTGTGAAAATTGCGCTGGATCCGGAGTAATCTTAAATGCTTAGAATAGACACTTATTTTACTTGTTTTGAGTCATTATTACTTTATAGATGCTAGAAAATGACTGTCTGTTATATTCCGTTTATTTGATTAAGTATTTTTATGTTAGTCAAAAGTTATACGCATTTTAACGCATCTTTCACTACTGTATTCACCTCACATTGATCCCTATGGCTAAGAAGCACACTTTCAGTAATAACCTACCATTTTTAATAGATTTTACGTTATTGGTTAGTATGATAGATAACATTTCACCCAATCACTGCCATGGCGTAGGATTAAGATCTTTACTTTTAGGTTTAAGATTAAGATAACGTTATAATTAAAGTTACTGGAACTATAGAATTAGGTACTGTAGAGTACTTTATTTTTGCTTGGAATTAATTTGCTGAAGGAATAATTCAGTGAAAATAAAATCCAGCGAATATAAATTTTTTCCTATATTTTACATTCAACTTGTCAAAAATCAGTGAAAATAAATTCCATACAAAACACCCAAAAGATCTTTTCAGTGAAAATAAATTCCAACTAAAATAAAGTATTCTACAGTATATCACCCAAGTAAGTGAGTACGATGCTGACTGCTGTCATACTTCCTGTAATTTAGTTTTAGACTGAATGTATAGTCAATTTTGTATCCTCCAGAAATAAATGGTTAAACTGTATCCTGCTGTTGGTTAATTCCTATGTGATTGACTGAATGATGGTAATGTACAATCTCACAAATCAGTATTGACATCTAGTATCTGCCACAGTCCTCAAAATGAACATATGGTTTCTGTGGCAAAATGGTTATATGTAATTTGTAGATGTATGTTTATACAGATCTTATTACAGCAATAACAAAATTATGTTGTGATAACAGTGACTGAAATTTTAATACTGCAGAACTCGTAAATTATCTTAATTTAATCCTAATTGTTAATAAATTATACATGACTGGCTGGTATCATATTTTCAAACTTCATTTTGTGAAATGAACGATACACAGAATGTTTGAAGACAAACAACATGGCATATATACCGATAGATGTCACAGGGAAAAAAAGATAATTTATGTAAATGAGACATTACTTCTAATCCTACAAGACCAGTGCAACATCCCAAGTCCAGAATCTCTGCATCTTTATTCTTAATCGTCTTGGCGATGGATTCTGCTGCAAGTTTATGTCCATTGTAATTGAACAAATTGATGTCCTGTGATGATAGTTGGAAAAAAACACATTAAAGTTGTTTTTTCACATATTTGTTCTTATTTTTTAGTTCATACAGAACTGAGCCAAAATTACCTTAATCAAACCAAATGGGTTTGAAATTTCTCATAAACTGTTTATCAGACACCAAATCAGGTAACTTTAAAATTTTACCAGCCCTGTCAGAAAGTTACCTGCCCTGTATTAAAGATTAATTTCCATTTCAATTAAGCACAGCAGGCTTATCATCTGCATTTTTGATTATCAGTTTCAACAAAACTAAGAAATCGTAATTATATTCAGAGTGAGAAATAAAAAAAAACTATCTTTTGCATTCTTTGCTTTTCACATCGACATTTGGAGAAGAAAGGTGCGTCCAGTAGCATTATTTATTAAAATTGCATTTTCAAATTGTTAATTTAAGCAGACCATGAAAAGAAAAAGTTACCAGAGCACCGGGCACGCAAGTTTTAATTTTTACTGTTACCAGTTACCAGTTTCTAGGGTATAGGTCGGTAATAATATACAATATATTACATCATATGATGTATATTTATGATAATATCTTGGCCATAGCAGAAAAATTAATTTGTGGTTGACCAAAAAAAATAATTTTCCACCTGTTGATTGAGGCGATAATTGCATATGCATAGCATGAAATATCATAACATTTTACCATATGTGTATCATGTGATATACCATATTGATGTGTACGTCTCCTCATTTATATGGATTTAACCTTTTTACCACCAGACTTTCTCGCCCAAATTTTTTCTGCACTTTTTTTCTTATATTCTTCAATATTTCTGGAAATGAACCCTAATTTTGGAGCCAACAGACAAAATTGGAATAAATTTTCAGTTTTTACTAAAATAATTTGGCTAATTTTGTCCTAAACTTCTAAAGCCAACTTAAGTGCAGACAATAAGTAATACTATTTTGTGATGAAAAGAGGGAACTGGTGGAGAAAAGGTTAAGTCTGTATGTATGTAGAACATGTATTTAAAAACTGATTGAAATAAAGATGGCAATAAAAATTGCACCACACTAATAATACTAGTAACAAAAATGTAACGCATACATTGCAAATAAACTATATTCAACATTTTTCACAGTATTTTGACTCTCCTTGAACACATTTACTGTAAGTATGAAGTTAGTAAAATGAAGACACTGTTTTTACTGTGATTTTAATACTATAATAATATTGCTAAGAAGTTAATTGCACTTCCATGAACTCTACAACTTACAAAGCAAACAACTCAGCCAAACCAAAGCTAGTTAATTCAAAACCTAAAAAATGTCAATAGAACTACCATATCTCCAATTTTTTTTACCTTATCATAAGTTTTACTCCAAGCATCATACACTTCCTTGCTTTCCTCCACATTTTTTGGCATCTTCATGGCAGGATGATCATCAGAAAATGGACATGCAAAGTCGCCATGACTACACTCACCATCATGTGAATGACCAGACATCTTTTAAAACAATGTGTTCAAGAAATTAAAAATAAAAATATTAATAAAAATAAAAATAAATGAACCAGCATATAGTATGTTGTTGTTTTTTCTATGTATACACCTTGGACTCATGACTGTATTCTCAAAACTGTTTTCGGTTTGGGACGTGTCTGGCCACGTGGGCTCGATCGACTTTTGTCAGCAATAATTGAGTGAACGCTATTCTGAATGGAGAGGAGCTGGAGAGCAAGTAACGATCTTTTTAAAGTCGTAACTTCGTTTATACTTCAGCGCGTCGCCCTTCGTGACGGCGTTTTCCCATTATCGCCAAAAAAGGTGGGACAAGCCATTAACTTGTCGAGCATTTGTTTACCTCAAACTGTACTTTCAGTTGGTGCTTTCATGTTGCAGTCACTAACTACACGTAAGTAGGTACAATGTATATTATAATAATGCTGCCTGACTCCGGTGTCTCTAGGCAGGTTACTTTTGTATATACAGGTACATTTTAACAAATCCTACTCACTGTATTTAGATCGTCTTGCAGTCGCTGTTACACGTCGCGTCGTACGCCCTAAACTTAGATCACTTATGCAGATGTCAATCGCACACCCTAGTTTCTTCAGTCGAAACAGTTCACTTGTACAGCGGTAGATATTGTTGATAACTTGTGACCTTCGTTTCACCTTCGATCATGGAGGTAAACTTAGTAAGCTTCCATGCTTCTAAAATGAACAGCGCCACCCTACGACTGAACTGTGTTTCAACCTACTCTCTCGTAATATCTGCAGTTGAAACAACATCAGTTTTGTTGTTTTTTTAGTTAGTGTTAATATTTTATTATTTGTTTAAAGATTTAACTATTGATTCAAGGACAAATTGATATTTTTTCAGGGTGTAAAGGTAGATCTTTTATTTTAATGAGTTGGCACGATAAGGTGGTAGGATCAAACCTCACAGTTCCTACTTCCGACTTCCAACTTCACAGTTTGAACTTCCTACTTCTGAGTTATGTCTTCCAACTTTTTACTTACTAGTATTTTAGTGTTTGTTTTCAACGTTATAATATAGCTTTCGTTTGTCTCAGTAAACTTCACTGTAGTTAAATTCCTTAATGTACACCTCAGCTGAAATGACGAGGATACAGGATTTAAAGGGTGGCAATCGTCGTGCCGCGTCCTGTTCGATATGGGACTCATAGGCTAGTGACGTATACAACGCGTGTAAAATGCATTGTTTATTTACATGAAATTCGAACACGCGCTGCGCGACGACCACCGCGCTTTAATAAAATAGTTCTAATGAAACGCTGTTGTACTGTACTTATTGAGTGAATATGTGGTGATCACATAGATGTGAGTTTTTTACTTTTTGTTCACTGACATCCAAAAAGACAACTTTATTTTTATTCGGGATAGGGTAATGCAGTGGATATATTAATGCAAGATTTGGAAAAAAAAGTCAATATTTGGTTCCCGGTTTTCAGAACTGTAAAATAAATTGGCAGAATTATGATTGGATGTAAGGTATGTTAATCATAAAATTTGCATAATATGCATATGCTTTATTGAGAGTTTTGTTCAAACACATTGACTTATTGTTGCATAATATTCTGTGAATAGGCATATTTGGATTTGTGATCCGTGGTACATCGTGGCCATTTCACAATGTAATCTCATCCTTACAATTAATTAAATACAAATTTAGTATATTAGTCTTATTTGTGACTCGCTGTTAACATAACTCTGTACTATGGTGTTGGTGATATATGAATTGGGTGTCATAGGATGGTACTTGATGGCCAACCAGCCTAATCAAATATGTATTTTGCATTCTACGACATCTGTTTTGGGGCGTGTCTGGTCGATGTGAAATTGCTTCTGCCATTGGGTAACAGGATTAACTTAACTGGTGTCTGTGTGAAAACCGCTGTTAAATGCCGGTAAAATGAATTTGCGCGGTTTTTGTGCTGTCATATTCTGAATGATTTGGAGCAGCAATAAAAGCCGACCATTTAATTGATAAAAATCGTGGCCAGAATATGATTTTAAATGGTTGAACTTATAGAGAAATCAGTCTCGTATTGGAAAGCATGTTTCCGGGAAGGAGGGGTATCGAGGTGGCGTGGCGTGGTGAGTAGATTTCCTCCCCAGGACGCCGAGTTGGGCGTCGGTACCGGGAGGGAGGCGGTGAATATGGTGTCGAGCGACCAACATAGTAAACCAAACTTAGAACTCGCGATACTGGTGCAGACGACTATGGTCGAACAACCATGAAAAATAAATGGCGGGACTTTGGTATTGCACATTTAGCACAGAAATAAAAGACACTCCCACAGTTAGACAACCAATCATTCTATTATTGGTCACGATGTACCACGGATCATTTCCACGTCCTTTGTAAACATCACATACACGATGTGCCGGCCATCCAATGACGGAATGAGCGGCTTCCTCTGTGCACAATCAGCGCCAACTTCGTGAGAGAAACACGACGCACTTGCTAAGTCTGGTGGCGCCCTACTATTTCATCAATAACCAAATACTTAGTATACCATTATCCTGTTCCCGTATTGGACATTTGTTTATTTGCAGTAATTTCCAATTCTACGCCAGGTCCTTAGTAATTAATGATTTCACGTATTTATTTGGCCGTTATTTGACAGACGTAAAATGCCATAATGTTAATTCGCGTAAATTTAAACACACTGATACTGATTATAAATTAAAAATTTGCAAAAAAATACTAAATTTGCTATCCCATGGAAATAATTTAAATCAAAATATTTGGCAATATATTAAGTTTTGCGTCGCATGCACGCGATTGAAATTTATTTTAGAGATATGACAAAAGACTAAAATATATTATATTATGTTTTTAATATATACACATTGTACAAATGAGACAAATAATAACAGGCACATATATTACATATTAGTTTCCATAGTTACATGTACACCAGTAACATGGCATTTTTGAAACATAGTTGAACTCTGGTGACCTTGCCCTTTGTTATATAATATAATTCCCTTTAACATAGTTTGTTTCAATATAAATATAAATATACATTGTCATAATTAATTTTGAATACAAAAAAGTTTTGGGGTTGAACTAACAGTGGGGAATCAGTCTACCGAATGTCCTTTAAATATGTAAATATCTTACAAAAACATTGGTGCCTTATTTGTTTAATTATTTTAAGGGACATAATTTCCAGCTTTATTCAAAGTAATTCAGATATTTTAGTATAAAAACAAATGCCTCATTGCAAAAAAAAAGTGCTGCATTTAGACGTGAATAGATTCATAAAACATGCAAGATAACAGAAAATCTTAGCTGGCTTTTGTCCAAGTATTTTGTACAGGTGTCTGTCAAAAATTAATGATTCACTGAGACAAATATAAACTGCCTCATTGTGTGACTACTGTATTATATGAAAAGTAAAAAAAAAAACACCCTTTATGAATAGCTATCATGTTGCAAGCTCTGCTTTAAATAGTTAGTTGGTGTCCAGTGGAGGGAGAAGTCAACAGTACTGTTGCCTCCTGAGAACCTACATCTTCAAACACTGCAATCTTTGTTTGAAGTGAGTTTT